GCTGGAGTCAATGAATAAGATTCAGAATTTCTTAAACTCTCATTCTTCATTTGGGTTGCTTCCTTCGTCCTCATGGTAATTGTCTCTCCATCTGAGTCTCTCATCCTCCAACATCCCTTTTTTCAAACAGTTTTCCTCAACTTTCCCTTTGTCCAAACCTTGTCTTGCCATTGTCTCATACACTTCAGTTTGCCCTCCCTCCATCACTCAGGATCATATCTTCAATTACATCATTGGCTTTGACATATCGTTACGAACTTAGTTGGTTTTGCTTATGATGTGTAGTATCCTTGCATGCCTATTCATAAAATTGTAACCTCATAAGATCCCCCCCTAAAGATTTATAAAAAAATATATATATTAGTAGAAATATTTATACGAATATTTAAGCAAACATCTAATAGACAATGTAAAATATAATGATAGATATTGTAATCTTTAAACAGTTATATAACAAGTATTCATATGACACCATTGTGAAATCGAGTGATGGTCAAACTTGGAAATTAAGTGATAGATCAGCTTAAGACACTACTCGTGAGGCCTATCTAATCATGTGTCACCCTTATAATTTTAGGGTGTTGAGATGGTTGATGTTTTTGATAGTTTTTTACTCATAAAAAATATTATAAACTATAGGTTAGAGGTTTTGCATCTAGTAACACAACGATTGCACATACATTATGTTTATAAGTTAGAAATAATCATAAAATCCAATCAAAATAGGGTTATCAACCCTATTACAAGCTCATTACATGTTTAAGGCATCAACAAACTGAAAAACATAAACATTACGTTGAACACTTTCTCTATAAATTATTTATAACATTATCCCTCTCTTATTCTTTCGATGTTTTTGTTGAAGACTTCGTAGATATTGCATATCTTTACCTTTATGGATGTTGAATCTCTTCGCCTTTGTTGTATCTTCGATCGTAAACATTATCCATCACTTGTTCTTTCAATGTCTTTGTCAAAGACTTCATAGACATTGCATATCGTTACCTTTATGGTAGTTGAATCTTTTAGCCTTAGTTGTATCTTCAATTATAAGCATTAGTTGCAACAAACCTCTTGGGTACTCTCTTGATGCTGCTATTAAGTAGTTGAATTTTAATTCATCAATATTACTTAACTCACTAGTGACTCTGACTCTAGTGTGTGCTCGATCGAGTTGTGTTGATCTTCGTTGGTACCAACCAATCTTTCATACGAAGAAATAAAATATTTTTTTGTTGCACATCAATCCCTAGAATGTCTTGTATCGATTGAATTAGATGGATGTCTTTTGTAGCTTTCACGAGCATCGCTCACATAATTTAAAGTTTTGAAGTCGTCTTTCGTAAAATTTGGTCATCAATTTTTTTTATTAATTTAATTGTTGCTTCTAAGTATGTTTGCATTACATCTACTTTTAATTGTCACTTTATTAGGAAATAACATGAATAAACTACCTTCAATGAAACCAATAATCATTTGTGAAGATTTGATAACTATTGTCTATCGGTAATTTCGAATGGTCTTTAAAAGTGTACAGAGCTCCTTTGCTGAATAACTAAAAGAATTGGATAATTTAATCTCATCTATTCTCTCATAAGTTGATAAAACCAAGGTTAATTAACTTCTCTTATCTTCTTGAGGATTGTACTCATGCATCGAGATGTTACTAGCCTTTGTTTATTTTTTGTTCACACTTCTGAATTACTTGAAGTGTTGTACTCTTTGCGCCGAGTTAGTTATTATATTTATCTTATTATTGTCATCAAACTTTTGGAATACAAAAAGTATTATCTGGAAAGTAAAATTTTATCCCTAGGATTATATAACCTTATCCATCGTTTTCGTCGCCTACTCCAAGTGAAAAAAATCACATGCTGCCTTCTCTACTCCTTAATCGAGCATCGCTATATCAACTAAAGTCTACCTATTTCGATTACCTCGATGAAAAGCCCTTCAACATTGGTCTTACGAAGTTTCCTAGTCAGTGACATTCTACATTGGCTTAGTACTTTGTGTTTATAATTGTATTTTCTTCTATCTTCTCGATCCTCTTTCATGATCATGCACTCTCCTTTCATGGAATCAAGGGATTGGTGGCCACCTAGAAGTCCATTCTTTATGGTACCGTGGCACTCTCTCATGCCCATAACATTACTATTTGTCGTCTTATATCCACGTTCCTTTTCTTTGCGAAGCACTCCTCCAAGTCCACCTTTATTCTTCTAGACACTTTTTGAATAGCTAAGTCACTCCAAACATGACATCGCTCATTGCTCTTTTCAATCATCTGTTTTAACACCTTTGTGTTATGTAAACAAGACACTTTAGTTGATGAAAAAACATACTATATCTCATGTACATGGCCTTTACAATCATGGTGCATGACTTATGCTAATTACATTCTCCTTTGTATCCTCGATAGCAATATTTGCTCATTTTGCCTTATCTACTAATTTGTCAAGCTCCCTCAAGCAACTATGAGTTTTGGAGTAGTTCACCCTCTAGTAGCTTTGAGCATATACCTCTTAATGACCAAGTCTCTCGCAAGACTCATTAGTACTTGTACTCGGAAGATCCACCTCTGTGGTATAGCCTTCATCCATCAATGTCGAAGATTTTTATTTGATGCAAAATTCGATGCATGCATAAAAGACTCATCTTTACGGTACCATAACATTTACGTTTTGAATTTATAACCCTTCTTGTCATTGTGTTGCTCACTAAAACGGAGCTCCTAACAATTCCAAACTTTTCTTCGGATTATTAAGTCCCTCACATGACTTGTCATTGTGTTGCATTACCTCAAATTGTTCCACCATGATTTGCTACATTAAATTACCTTTTAGTGATGTTGCCATTGCACTCTGATCTTAGTGTTGTGAACTTGAACTTTGATCTCTCCTTGTGTAGCCGATACCACTTCCAATTGTGTTCACTTCTTTGACAATCGATATTCGTCCATTTGCACTTGAGCCACTAATGAACGAAGTGCAGATTTAGGACGGTTCATCACCTAATAGCCCTTGAAGCCCATTAACTTCATTGAAAATTGGTGTGTCATTATTTAGATCCTAGGCCTTTAGCCTTAACACAATCTTTTCAATGTGCATCACTCCCTTTATAGCAATTAAATAGCAACATTCACATACTTCTCACAAGTGTTTGCCTCCGTAGCCTCTTTCCTATGCCAAGGCTTTCAATTGTAGTTCACTATTATAAGTTGAACTAATCCCTTACCTTAATCCTTTCATCACTCGCTTTATTAAAATAAGGTGCATATGCTTCAAAGTCCCTTTTGACTTTCACACCATGCAAGATGAACTCATTTTATCATAATAAGAAAACTAATGAATAACATGATGCTACTCTTATCTTTACAAGAGTTCATGTCCTCAACCTCTCTCCAAAGAAAGCTTCACAAAGTTTGTGCTTCTGTTCTATGTTTTACCTTCTAAGTCAACTCCCTTCATGCAACTTGGCTACTTATTCAAGTTTCACATAAGTTGCTTTACTCCTCGATTTACATTGAAATCATGATGGCCCTCGCATCTATCATTTCATGGGTTAGCCATCCGTTAAGCTCAATTCACATTAACTCTAGATGTGCCTTTATCTAGTATTGTCTTTGATCGCTCTACTTGATCTAGCAATGCGTCTATCAACGAATTACCTCATGTAAAATCTTATAATAACTCCTTGTCGCTTGCTTGATTGTGGCCCCCTTCAAGCTTTTGCAAAGCTTTTTTATATTGCACATGAATTTTATCTTAAAAAATTTGAGACTTATCCTCTAGATATTTGTTCTATTATAGTAACTTTTTTTTTTTTCGCATTCTTCTTTCTAGAAATTTCTTAGACCACCATCTCCTAAGAATACATTGTCTTATGAAGACGCAGTAGTGTATTGTTTTGCAATTACGAATGCACAAATCATGACTCTTCTCCAAATGTAGCCATCTATTATGCCCTCAAGGCCTAGCAATGTGTTGAATCTACTACATCGTTTAGAGTCTCGTTGACATAACTTTTTCTCTCATTTCAAAGCGAATGTTTTCATGTTTTATATAGCCAAAGTTTAGTCACCTTGGAATGACCACATACAATCCATTGTTTGCATATAAGTTATTGCATTAGTACTGAATTCTTTTGAGTCAATAATTTTTCTCACCTTTACGAGCTTTGTACAAATTCGTTTGGTTGTCGAGTAACTCATCTCTACTTGTATGATTTGATCCTCTGCCAAGCATCATTGTTTGCATTGAGCACCTTCAAGTTATGTTGACAACATCGAGTCGTAGCTCAAATTTAGCCATTCTAATGTTTATTAGTTATGTATTCTTCCTAGCTCATTTGTCCTCGTGGCATCTCTTACGTAAAAGATTAATCATTCTTCTTTATATCAATCATGGATGTTCGCTCCATCGAATGACTCATTTCCCTAGTTTATGATTATTTTTTCCTGCATGGTCATGTGTGTTGCTCTTCATGTAACCATGCTAGGTCCTCATGTTGCATGCTAAGTGTTTCTTAGTACGTTTGTCCTGCTTTGATATCATTTGATACGGACTTAATTAGTTTTGCCTATGTTATGCAACAAGGGATCAGTCTCCCTGTAACCTTATAGGATCCACAAAAGAAAATAAATTAGTAGAAACGTTAACTCAAGATCCCACGAGTAATTTTTTAGTAAGTACTTGATAAATAATACAAAATACAAAGAAGAATTTTATGATCTCTAAATGGATGCATGACGAAAAGCCTTATCATGTTAAATCGGATATACTTTCAAGCTAGAATATTTCGATTCATCCTAGAGTTAATATAAGGACGTGAAGTTTCTCCAAACCGTTGGAAACTTTCATCGTATGAGTTAAATGTGATAATAATACTATTTGTAATTTGTTGTTGAATTTGATGTATTTTTTAAATTAAATATGTAACCAAGTGTAGATGAGATAATACTAACTAAAGTGGCAGGGGGCGTGAAGCATAATGAAACGAGTCTTCTCGTGCCCATACCTCACAACGAAGTCGGGATTATGAAGCTATACATACATACATACATAAGCAATTAGAATTGTTTTGTCTGTCACTCAGTCGGATCAATGTCCTCTGCACAAGCGAATCTTATCGTTCATCTCTCACCCATGGGAGCCAAAAGATCACAGGCAGAAGAATAGAGTAATAGAGGAGATGCGCAGGGTCTACCTTCACGTCGCACTAGCATCCAACAAAGTTGTCATACTGCTGCTTGTGGAATCAGAATCGCAAGGTCGGAGGGTGGTGTCATAACCTGGTGATTTCATCTCCAAAGCTAACCCTCGAAGCATCGCATATATCTGGTCGTTCTCTGGGTGGGTTCGGTCCCGAGACATGAATCGGTGTGACCAATCCCCAACTTGGATCCAACTGGAACCAGGTTCCTTCCTCAGTCCTCTTTCTCTCATCTCCTTTCTCACCCTATCCACATTGTCCCAGTTCCTGTCGGCGGCATACACGTTCGAAAGAAGAACACGATAACCCGCAAGTCCCCTCTCCTTCCCTATCTCAAACAGCCTGTCAGCTACCGACTCCCCCAACTCCAGTTTGCGATGAATCCTACATGCGGCAAGCAAAGAACCCCAGATTCCTGCATAATTTCCATCATCCCCTAATCCTTTAGCCAACTCATATGCTTCCTCCACTCTTCCAGCCCTACCCAATAAATCCACCACGCAACAATGATGTTCCGGAGTTGCCTCTACGCCAAATTCCTCCATTGATTCATATACTGCGACACCTTCGTCTACCAACCCGGAGGAACTACACCCCGATATAAGTGCTACGAAGGTGATGCCATCGGGTCTTACCCCTGCTTCTCTCATGGAGCTAAACAGAGTCAAAGCTTTTTCACCGAGCCCGTGCTGACCAAAGCCTGACAGCATCGTTGTGTAAGTGACAGTGTTCCTGTCCTCCATGCCATCGAACGTTCTTTCCGCAAACGAGATGTGACCGCATCTGGAGTACATGTCGATCAATGCTGTGCCCACGAACACATTCTCGTCTAGATACCGGCGAACGGCAAACCCATGGATCTCTTTACCAGCTCGGATTCCTCCAACCGGGCTACAGGCAGGAAGGATGGACGCCAGCGTCACTGCATTGGGCGTCAGGCGTTCTTTAAGCATCTTTCTCAACACGGCCGTAGCTTCTTCGGTCTGCCCGCTATGGGTGTACCCAGCAATCATCGCATTCCAGGTGACTCTATCTCGCTCATCCGCTTGCTCCCCATCAAACAGTCGCCGTGCGATCTCGACCGAGCCCGACTTTGCATACATGTCTATCAGATAACTAGCGATCCCATCAAACTTGACGCCGTGCCGAAGGAGGTAACCATGCGTCTCTTTTCCCATCATGATATTGCCCGCATCGGATGCTGCCGAAAGCAAAGCCGCCGCAGTCACTGAATCCACCAAAAACCCATCTTTCTGCATCTCGTACACCAGCGATACCCCCTCGAGATTTAAACCGTTCTGCACAAAAGCCGAAATCATGGTGTTCCATGAGACGACATCTCTCTGGGGCATCCGACGGAAAAGCTCGAGCGCAACCTGAACTTTACCACACCGCGAATACATAACTATGAGCGCATTGCACAGCACCAAAGGCAGCAGGGAACAATTCCTCTTGATCAGATATGCATGGACTTGTTTCCCCAGCCCGAGATCCTGCGACTGCGAGACCGCCATTAGGGAGGAGAGAAACGTCACAGCGTCGGGATCAACCATGTTTGACTCCAAAATCTGGACCAAGAGAGCAAGAGCTTCACCGTAACCACCATTCTGAACGTACCCACCAATCATGGTGTTCCACACTTGCGTATTTTTCTCCTTCGCTTGATCAAATATCCGCCTCGCTGATTGGACCTCCGAAAGTTGGGCGTACATCAAAACAGCGGAGCTGATGACAAACTGATCGTCGATATAGTGATGGCCATGCTTAACAATCAACCCATAGAGCACGTCGCCGTACTGGCTACCCTCCTCCGTAGCAGCAACCGCTGGGAAGACGGTGATAAAACTGACAGGAGTTGGCCGAATACCGACCTCCAGCATAAGCCTAAACTGTGCCAACGCACGATCAGGACGGCGGCATCGGACGTACCATCCGATCAATGTATTCCACGCAACGACATTTCTCTTAGGCATTCTATCGAACAAGAAACGGATGGTATCGGCGTGGGACGTCTCAGGCTCAAGAGCGGAAGCGTACATGTTGAGAAGGGAGTTATTGAGGATCTGGCTCTTGGGGGGTGCCCGAGAGCGACGGATGACGTGGCAGTGGATGGATTTGCCGAGCCGAAGCTGGCGGGAGTCAGCGCAGGCCTTTAGCGCGGAGGAGTAAGTGTATGCGTCGGAGCGGGGGCAGCCATGACGAGAGTGGTGGTGGGAGGAGGAAGAGTTCATTAGGGCGTAGAGGCGGAGGGCCTCGTGGGGGAGGGAGTTGCAGACGTAGCCAATGAGGAGGGTGTTCCAGAGAAGCGTGGGGGTGGGGGCAGAGCGGGCGAGGGAATCGGAGAGGAGGCGACGGGCTGCGTCAAGACGGCCCTCCTTGCAGAGCTGGCTCAGCCGGGCTCGAATGGTGAGCTTGGGATAATTATTGTGCTTCTCTCTTCTGGCCTGCGGGTCCTGGGGAGACTCTTGTGGTTGCTCTTGCTGTTGCTCATGTCGGAGGAGGATGCCACGACGGCGGTGATTGGGATGCTTGGCTTCCTGGTTCGCTGCGGGGAGAGTGGCAGGCAAAAGAGAAGATGGTGGTGGAGCAGCAGCAGCAGGAGGAGAGAAAAAGTGGGCGGTGCGGGTAACGTGGTGGAGCGGCAGCGGGGGGAATGCCATGGTCCAATTCGTGAGCTTCCTCGACGCCCCATTTTTCTCTTGTACTTTTTAATTTCTATTTATCCTTACATCAAATCAAATTGGAGGGTGATCTGATGAGGTGCGACCGCCACGTCCTGAGGTCAAGACGGTCTGCACGTCCGTCCACCTAGCGAGGTGGCCGAGAGCATCATGCAGACCTGGCCCACCCGCTGCGTCTTGGAATCCCATCCCATTAGATCCGTCACATATGGCAAATGCCTCGCCTCGCCTCATCCATCAGATAAATCTTCATATAGCTTTACGGATCATCACAAAGACGCTGCTCATTCTGATGATTAAAGGAAAAGAGAGGATGAAGATGAAATTTAAAACTGCGGGTACAAAATGTTTTCTAGGCAAGATAAAACGTTTTCTAGGCAATGCGTTCAGAAAAGTCAGATTTTGACTCACGGTACCTAAGAGGTTCGCTCTTGCCTCAGCAGTTGGGCCCTGAGGCATATGTCAATTTGAGGGAGGCAAATATGATGCTGGTAAGATAAACGTTTTACTGGAAACACTAATCGAGTTAGTTTCTTTTGAACAAATCAATGAATCTCTTGGTGTCCCTTCTACAAAATGTTTCTAAATTTAAACCGTGTTCGTCCGTCTCATGGTTGCATACACAAAGATTTGGCTAGAAAAATGAGCCAACGCAGATCCAAAGCTGATGTTGAGAGGTCCACTAGGAAACCCCATCAAGATGCTGCATAACCTGAAGGTTGGTTCCTCCAAGGGGCCAAGACAGGTCCTGGTAAATTTGTAGCTGAGCAGGGACGCTGTTTGCATTGTACAACATTCGTTAATCCTTTAACTGAGCTTTTGCTTGTTTAATGCATCTGATGAGCAAACATCCCCTCGACAAAGTGGGCAGACCCTACACAGAATACATATATGCCAAGGGTTAGACATGGATGAAAACAACAGTGAGTTACCATGGATAAAGTACAGCTCAAATTTTACCATAAATCATGACATGACATTCTTCATATGCAACAGCAGCATCGAACTTCCTCAAAAATAAAAATAAAAATAAAAACAGCCACATCAAATTACTGATAACTAAACTTTGTTCATTCTTAGTTTTCCTTTTAGCATGTTGTATTGATAACACTGACAAATCTTCTCAGATTTCACAAGTTTGCAACTTACATGCCTTGTAACAAAGAGAGTGTCACCAAATTTGCACAACTCTCTTGAGAAGCTATACCACCAATTTTACCAAAAAAAGGTCAACAAGATGGATGCATGGCAACAATTGCTATTTTGAGGTTAATTTGCCATTACAAGAGCATACAATCTCATCAAGATACAAATTAAGAAGTATTAACATTGGCCACAAAAAGAAAAGGTTTAACAAATGAAAGAACAAGAAACAAACACGAAGGTTGAGTTGCAAACATCTAGTTGACACTGATCCCAAAAGAATGTGTTGTTTACATTCAAATATACAACTATAACACATTATAAGCAAACTTATAATAGACAAACTACTAGAGCAGTGTATCAATCCTTCAAATCACTTTGTGTGCAAGTAGCCTCACGATAACTTCTGAATCCTAAAATGTTTGCAAATCAGTTAGTTTCATATTGCCGATGGATTCTCTTATGTATGGGAGAACTGCTAATGCTGTAGGGAGGCATTTTAGATGTGTAGATACTATCAAGCCTAAAGCTGAGTCATATGTAGAGGCTGAAGCCTTGTGTAGACTGATCCAAGGCTTGCAACTATGAAAGATATTATTAATCAAGAACTTCTGGCCAGACAATAGAATTGATTTCATACTAATAAATGGTTCAAATGTATTTTTGAGAACCTTGACTTTTTCTTTTTCTTGTATTTGGCTGGTTTCCTTATTCATCACTCCTAGCTACGTATTTTTTCTACAATGTCTCAAATACACAATGTTCATCATATCGAGTGCCTCTACAGAGTGCCTTGTACACAAATATTCCACATGATTATTGTATTATAGCAAAAGTATGAGATTATTCCTTTTCATAGAAGTCCACATACTTGGGTTCCTACAAAATCAATCATAACATGACAGACAAAATTGTAGAATCCAATCTTTTCCTTGCAGGCCAAAGATATGCAAGGAACTGCTGGAGTAAATATGCATATAGTTAGAAGCAATATAATGAATTTTTGGACAATCCTGGCCCACGTTTATTTTTGTTCTATCCACTCGATATGAGAAAACATGTATGGTTCTCTCGTGGGGCTGACCCACAGAACCCACATATCAAATACACTGTTTTACAAAACTTATTCAAGTAATTATTTTCTGTCAGATCATCGCAGTCCTAGGATCTAATCCTGCCTTTACTACTTACCTTTCACAATATATATATATATATATATATATATATATATATACTCAAGTAACTATTCCTTAACTAAGAGTATAAAATTTAAAAGGGAAAGGACCCTTTTTTCCATGCCACTCAGTATGGGACAGCATGTATTAGTTCTGTGATGGGGGATGGTATCTGAAAATCCTCATTATGAAGCTAATATCAATAGGTGAGTGGCATATACTATGAGGTATGTCAGCATAAGGTTTTCAATACCGTTCCATACCGCCCGATATGGGTGGTACGTACCAGTCAGCCAGTTGACCGACACGCAGACCACTACTAAGTTGTCACGCACTTAACTGGTTTTGCCTAAGTCCCGGCACCCTTGCGTGTCCGTCCGCAAAGGTCTGCCTCCCCAAAACCTCCTATGGTCCCTTAGGACCTACAAAAGATAAAACGAGTTAGAGAAAGCGTCTCACTCAGGATCCACAAGCAATCATTTCAGCAAACACTTCATAGCCAATGTAAATTTCAAACAGACTTCACAAGCTATGAACGGTCGCACAACAAAGGGTCTAAAATGATCCATTACAGATCCAAATACTCATAAGTGTCCACATGACACGACATTTATTTACAAGCCTAAGACGACCACCAAAACCAAAGAAAATGAGGCTGCTAAGCCTACTGTTAACCCTTTACATGCTATGAAAAGCATAAACAAAACCGAAAGACACGAACATACATGAGCATTACGTCAAATACCCCATTTACAGTTTTGTCTATGACATTCTCCCTCATTTATTCCTTTGACATCCTCGTCGAAGCCTTTGCAGATGTTGCATCTCCTCACCTTTGCTGAGTTTTCAATTTCTGCTTCAATTGCAATGTACCTCTTGGCTCCCAACTGCACTCTGCCACTATTGTTGAGTAGTCGAACTTTGATCCGCCATGCTGCTTCAACTCACCAATGACTTTGACTCCGATGTGGAGTCGACTGAGTTGTGCTAATCCTTATTGTTTCCTACGGATCTCTCAAATGAAGGAAAAAACTATCCTTAGTATACATCAGTCTCTCAAATGCCTCATGCCGCTTAAACTAGATGGATGCTTATTAGAGCTTTAACGAGTATCGCCTCGTAGACTTTAAAGTTTTTGGATCCTTCATAAAATTTGCCCATCAATTCTTCTTCCACTTAGTCGTCACTTCCAAGTAGGTTCGCATCACTTCCGCTTTCGATTGACATTCTGTTATGAAATAAAACAGATACTCTACTCTCAGTAGCACTGATCACCATTGATGAGGATTTGACAACTATTATCTTCCATTAGGTTTCTTCGAAGGGTCTTTGAACCTGAGCAGAGCTCCTCTGTTGAATAGATAAGAGAATTGGAATACTCGATTACGCCCATTCTCTTAAGAGTTGAGAAGGCAAAGGTTACTTGACTTCACTCCGCCTCCTCAAGGGTTGTACTCCATGCATCGAGCTGGTTACTTGCCTTCGCCCGCTCTTTGCTCACATTTTTGAAACACTCGAAGTGTTTGCACTCCTTACTATCACGGACTTAGCTGGTTTTGCCTAAGTCGTGTGGCACCCTTGCGTGTCCGTCCACAAAGGTCAGCCTCCCCGAAACCTCCCACGGTCCCTTAGGACCCACAAAAGAGAGAACGGGTTAGAGAAAACGCCTCATTCGGGATCCACAAGCAAACATTCCAAAAAACACTTGATAGACAATACAAATTACAAACAGACTTTACAAGCTCTGAACAGTTGCACAACAAAGGGTCAAAATGGTCCATTATAGACCAAAAATCTCTCACAAGTATCCACATGACACAACCTTTATTTACAAGCCTAAAGCGGCCACCAACCCAACTAAAATGAGACTATTAAGCCTTCGACCGTCCCTCTATATGCTGTACAAAGCATGAACATACCAAAAGACACGGACATACATAAGCATTACATCAAACATCCTGTTTCGAAGTTTGTCCGTGACATTACGTTGAGTTAGCTACTGTGATTCACCTTCTCAATGCCATCGAACTTCTGGAATACAAAAAGTTTTCACCCCCAACTTAGAGCAAGTCTCTAATAGTTTTAGTCACCTTTGGGATTACACCGTCTTCTCCATCATCTTTGTCGCCTACTCCTCTGAGTCGCAAAGGTACAGCACCGCGTACTGCCTACTTTGTTCCTCGGTCGAGCACTCTTGCGTTGACCTGAAGTCCTCCACTTTTCGCTATCTTGATAAAAAGCTCGTTGACACCGGTCTTACGAAGTTCCCTGGCCTCTGCCCTTCAGCCTTGTCTCGGAACTTAGAGTTTTCCTCGGCATTCTCCACCTCCTTGGCCCCTTTCACGACCAAGCACTCTCCCTCCAGGAGAACAAAGAATCGATGACTTCAAGGATGTCCCACCTCTACGGTACCATAGCATTGCCATGCCCATAGCCCTACTATCTGTCGCCTCGCATCTGCGCCCCTTTCTTTGCGATTGGTAGATCTACCTTTGTGGCACCGTAGCATTCCTCCGAGTCCACCTCAATTCTAACCGATACTTGGTTTTGAATAACTAAGTCCCTTTAGACTCGTCGTCGCTTCCTCGCCCCTTTCAACCCCCTGCTTCAACACCTCTGTGTTCTCCGAGCAGTTCCCCTTGGTCGATGGAAAAACAGACTACAACTCCTATGCATGGCCGTCGCCATCATGTTGTAGGGTTCGTATCGATTATGTTCTTCTTAGCTTCCTTGGTAGTAACGTTCGCTTACTCGGTCTTGTCCTTTGACTTGTCGAGCTCCCTTAAGTGAATATGAGCTCTGGAGCAGTCCAACTCTCTAACCGCTCCGATCATACCTCGACATGATCAAGTCCCCCCCCCCCCATGGGACTCACTAGTATTTGCATTCGAAATTCTCCCTCGGTGGTAAACAGCCCTCATATGCTGATAACCAAGGCTTTTATTCAATGCAAAATTTGATGCACGGACGAAAAACTCGCCTCTACAATACCATGGCATTCACTCCTTGAATCTATAGTCTTTCTTGTCGTCATGTTGTTCACTGAAGTGGCACTCCCAATAGCCCTCGATCATACCTTCGTATGATCTAGTCCCTTGCAGGACTAGTTTCATGTGTATCGTATTGCCATGAACTGTTCCATCACGATCCGCTGCACCATGTCACCTCCTACTGCTATCACCATTGCATTATGATCATTGTGGGATGAACTTAGATTGTGATCCCTTCATATATGGCCTCTGCCAACACATCGCAAGGCCTCTTCCACCTTCGATTGTGTTCGCTCCTTTGGCAATCGACCTTTGTTCACCCGCTCTCGGGTCACACCTAGACGAAGCATAGCTCTAGGACAGTCTATTGCCTAATAGCTCTTGAAGTCCACCGACTTCGCTAAAATTGGTGCACCATCAAGATCCTGGGCCTCTGCCCCCACCAGCACAATCTCCGCTAGCACCGTTTCTTTCATGGCAACTTGAATGACAGCATCATGACGTATTCTTCAAGAGTACCCGCCTTCGCATCCTCTTACCCCGTGCCAAGGCCTTATGAACCCAAC